TATATATATATATATATATATATATATATATATATATGTATATATATATATATATATATATATATATATATATATATATATATATATATATATATATATATATATTTATTTTGTACAGATTTCGCATTGAGGTTACGGTTATAAACAGTACTGGGTCGGTTAATTTGGTCATTTTTTATCGAATCATTATCCAATTTATTGGGAAATGCGCGTCAGATGTAATTGGAGATTCAAAAGCGATAATAAATTTTGACAAATCTGTTTGCTCAAATTATTCAAAATTATTTCATATATATTATTAACACAATGTATCACGTGAACTTTTTATGTAGGAAGACTGTGCTAATAAATTCCCTATTGAGTTTGACACAATACTTAACAATGAATTTCTTTTTAAAGTTCAAATTCGTGCAATGAACATACAAAATAATTGGCCCCTCTATACTACTATTAAGTCGATGCACGATGAAGAAGAACTTATTCGCCAATTTAAGGCTATGTACTGCATCAAGGTGTATACCAAAAAAATTACATATTCTGTACGTTTTTTTTTTTTTTGGCAATTAGCACATCTATATTTATTTATTTATATTGCAGGAATTCGACGAAGATCACGAATCCATTGAATATTATGTTCAACATTAAGATGACAGTTCTAATGTACTACATATATATTATCTAATTAATCAAACACATGTTCAAATATATTTGATGAATCTATAAATTATAAATACTATTAACATATAATTTTCGTGTAAATATTTTGTAGGAATTGAGTACAAGTATTGATGACAATACTCGTATCATTTATTTGGTGGAGAAACGAGTTGACGAGGGTGCTATATCTAATTTATCTGACGATGATACAACGCAGATGTCCTCTACTACAACATTGAAGAAGATCAAGATTGAGAAGCTTTTGAAGTGATTGTCGTAGAATTTGATTTTTTTTTTAATCTTTGCATATTTTAATGTTATGTTTTGTTTGAACACTTTCGCTATCAGTTTTAGACATTTAGTACTTAGTTTAGTTATGTTTTCGAATTTTATAATTTTTAGTCGCTACTTTAGTTGTAGTGTTTGAAACTACGTTCCAGG